GCTCGTCCTTTTATTAAGATTAATAGATGGAGAAGTTTCTTTAATTCTCCTGAGTTAAAGTCCCAAATTATCACAATTCTAATTTCTCCTGCTCAGCTCTGTCTGCTTTAAATTTACTCAGTTTTCTCTTAGAAAGCAGAAGTGGAAGCAGCGTCTAGCTTTGTTCCTTCGAAATCAGAACAAAGACCTCCTGGGGTGTGGAGAATACCACGGACTCCGAAGGAGTTCTCACCCTTCGACCCCCCCCCCCAAAATTATGGGGGTCATGGGGAACTCAACTTCTATCCGGGCAAGCTCGCCTCCTCCCCTTTTCCTGAGGAGAGAGACTTCAAGCCCCGAAACAGCTGTTGATCGCCGTTTCCGCAGGCTTTGACACATTCCCAGGGCCCACGGCTAAAGAAAAGCCGCAGCTATCACCACTATTCTATTCTATTCTATTCTATTCTATTCTATTCTCTGTTCTGTTCTGTTCTATTCTATTTTCTGTTCTCTTCTATTTTATTCTTTTTTCTATTCTTTTTTCTATTCTAGTCTATTTTCTTTTCTATTCTATTCTACTCTATTCTATTTCTATTTTCTTCTATTCTATTCTGTTTTCTATTTTCTTCTATTCTATTCTGTTCTATTTCTATTCTACCTATTCTATTCTATTTTCTATTCTCTTCTATTTTCTATTCTCTTCTATTTTATTCTTTTTTCTATTCTATTCAATTCTACCTATTCTACTGTATTCTATTTTCTTCTGTTCTATTCTGTTTTATTTCTATTCTACCTATTCTACTGTATTCTATTCTATTCTATTCTATTCTATTCTATTCTATTCTATTCTATTCTATTCTATTCTATTCTATTCTATTCTATTCTACCTATTCTACTGTATTCTATTTTCTTCTATTCTATTCTGTTCTATTTCTATTCTACCTATTCTATTCTATTCTATTCTATTCTATTCTATTCTATTCTATTTTCTATTCTATTCCATTCTACCTATTCTACTGTATTCTATTCTATTCTATTCTATTCTATTCTATTCTATTCTATTTTCCTATTAAATTCTATTCCTTATTTTAATTCTATTCTATTCTATTCTATTCTATTCTATTTTTCTATTAAATTCTATTCCTTATTTTAATTCTATTCTATTCTATTCTATTCTATTTTCCTATTAAATTCTATTCCTTATTTTAATTCTATTCTATTCTATTCTATTCTATTCTATTCTATTCTATTCTATTCTATTCTATTCTATTCTATTTTCCTATTAAATTCTATTCCTTATTTTAATTCTATTCTATTCTATTCTGTATTCTCTCCTCTCCTGTTCCATTTGATGGATTCCACTTTTTCAGCCATCATTGCCTTTGCCATCTTTGGGGCCACAATAAACTGCATAGTCTCTTTATGGCTCCCCATTTTTAGTCTCACTGGTTCAGGCAGGCAGGTTGCAGGAACACTACACACACACACACACACACACACACACACACACACACACAGAGTGAACGAGCCATCGATCTACTCAAAGTTCATGGGTTGCTTCAGTCTCTTAAGCCTTCAGTCCCCGCGAGTCCTCCACTTTCAGGCTGATTAAGCAACGGGGTGCACCCCGACTCTAGAAGGGCCGTGAAGGACCCCCCCCTCTCTCCTGACTGGGGGACTCCCACCTCCTCCACCTGGGCAGCCAATGGGGCGTGGCTCCACTTACCGTCGGACCGTCTTCCCCCTGGCTGTCGCTCTCGTAGAAGACCACTCCAGGCTGGTCGGGGGTCGGACTCCCCTCGCTTGATTCGGGGGAGACCTGCACGACCTCTGGTGCCCCGCCCGATCTCTCATTTGGAGTCTTGGGATGGCTCCGGCCGTCGAGGCGGGTCGGGGGGCCGGGCAATTGACCGCCCAGTGGTCGCCTTTCCCGCATCGGAAGCAGGCTCTGGCGGGGCGGCGCGGACCCCCTCTGGCGGTGGGCGGAGGGGACCCTCTCCCTTTTCTTGCTGGCGGGCGCTTTTAGTAATAGTAGTAAAGTTGGAAGGGACCTTGGAGGTCATCTAGTCCAACCCCCTGCTCAGGCAGGAAACCCTAAACCATTTCGGACAAATGGCTGTCCAGTCTCTTCTTAAAAGCTTCCAGTGTTGGAGCATTCACCGCTTCTGGAGGCAGGTGGTTCCACGGGTTAATTGTTCTCACTGTCAGGAAGTTTCTCCTTAGTTCTAGGTTGCTTCTCTCCTTGATGAGTTTCCACCTGTTGCTTCTTGTCCTGCCTTCAGGCGCTTTGGAAAATAGCTTAATTCCCTCTCCTTTATGGCAGCCCCTGAGATACTGGAAGACCGCTATCATCGTCCCCCTCGTCCTTCTCTTCATTAAACTAGACATACCCAATTCCAGCAACCATTCCTTATATGTTTTCCCGGCCCACGCTCCTTCAGCTCCAGCTCCAGCGTGCTGGCCAGTCGGGACCAGGCTGGGAGGCTGTCGGGGAACCCCCCCGAACAGGCAGCCCTGGTACATCTCCCTGCTCAGCCCGTCTCGGAACTGGCAGACCAGCAGCCGCTCCGGCCACCCCCGCAGCCTCCGGGCTATCCTGCGGAACTCCCCGAGGTACTCCGCCACGGATCGGTTGCCTTGCCTTACGGAGTACATAGCCAGTTCCGCCCGGCGGGTCAGGGTGGGGTCCTCGAACCGTTCCCGCAGCCCTTCCAGGAAAGCCTGGACGCCCCCCCAGCTCCGGGGCCCCCACGTCGTGGAGCGCCATCATCCGTTCAGCGGCCTCCCCGTCCAGGCTTTCAGCGATCGTGCTCACGCGGGCCTGGTCGTCTGGGAAGGCGGCTCCGTACCTGCCCAGGTAGATCCGCGCCTGGCTCGGGAAGTAGGCGAGCTTCTGCGCTTGCCCGTCCAAGGTGGGCCTCAGGGCTGGGGGCTCATGGCCACCCCGAACCAGCAGGTAGCCGGGTGGCAGCCAGACCACCTGTTGGGAGCCGTAGGCTGGAGCCCCTCACACTGCAGGGGTCGTTGGGAGTCTTCAGGCGGCCGCAGGTGGGCTCCCTGGTGCTCCCCCGCCCCCTGCAGCCCCCTGGCGTGCCAGGGTCAGCACCGCCGGCTGAGGGTGGGGAGGGGGCGAAGCTGCAGCTGGGGCCGCCGTCCGCGCTGCCCCTCCGGCTGGGGGATCTGGCCCGCTCCATTCCTCGCAGCTCCAGCCCCGACGCAGCCCCCCAGGCCGGGGGTTTCGCACGTTCTGCTCCTCGCGTGTCCAGTTCTCCAAACTTCTGTTGCAACTGCTCCACCGAGGGGCTGCGGGGGGCGGTTGGGGGGCTCCATCCGGCTGATTCCTCCCACCCGCCGGCCCCCCTTGGGCTGGGCTGCCGCCGGTGCCCCGCGAGGAAGGGTCAGCCCTGCTTGGGCTGAGGTCTGGGTCTTCTTTTCCGCCCCCCGAGGTCCTTATGCCACCCTCCTCTAGGGAGCCTCGGAGTAGGCTGCGTTCACAACTTCACGCGATTTAAGGTCAACCGTGTGGCTAGCGAATTCAATTATGAGATGGTATAGGATAAGTCCTCCTGCTTGAGCAGGGGGCTGGACTAGAAGACCTCCAAGGTCCCGTCCAACTCTATTCTATTCTAATATTGAAGAAATTCTACCCGCTTCTGGGTTGCCATAGGAGATCAACTTTATTGAACACACCTCCCGGCGGTGAAGAAGCAAAATCAACTCTTTAAAGTTTCCCACGCGAAAATCTTGTTAGTGAACGCTGGCTTTTCCTAACTCCCGCCTGCCCTGTATTCACGTTGCCCAATCACATCCTCTCCGTTTGTTGTGGGAACGGTCCACGTCTCCATCAGACACCTGCTTCGGGTGACCTTGGGTCTCACGCTGTGGGAACTGGTTCTTGAGACTCCCGTTTCTTTTCCCAGGCTCTCCCCCCCCCCCCCGTTTGTATGGCAAGCTGGGTAGCGAGGGAGGTTAGGAAGCATCTCAGCAATTCAACCTTGAGGTGTCTTCAGCGGAGTTTAGGGGACACCTCTCTGCTGAAGATGTCACCTAGCCTGGTAACGAAACATTTGGAAACCAACCCAGAAGCTTGGAGAAGAAACAATGGTTGGAAACTGACCAAAGAGAGAAGCAACCTGGAATTAAGGAGAAACTTCCTGACAGGGAGCACAATCAACCAGTGGAACAGAAGTTGCCTCCAGAAATCGTGGGCGCTTCAATACTGGAGATTTTTAAGAAGAGAGTAGACATTCACCTGTCTGAAATGGTATTCTCCTGCTTGAGCAGGGGGCTGGACTAGAAGACCTCCAAGGTCCCTTCCAGCTCTGCTCTGCTCTACTCTACTCTGCACTCTACTCTCTACTCTACTCTATTCTATTCTATTCTAATTCTATTCTTACATTCTATTCTATTCTAATTCTATTCTTAATCTACATTCTATTCTATTCTATTTTCTATTCTATTCTAATTCTATTCTATTCTTACTCTACATTCTATTCTATTTTCTATTCTATTCTTTTCTATTCTAATTCTATTCTATTCTAATTCTATTCTATTCTTATTTTAATTCTATTCTATTCTATTCTATTCTAGTCTTATTTTAATTCTATTCTATTCTATTTTATTCTATTCTATTCTTATTTTAATTCTATTCTATTCTATTCTATTCTATTCTATTCTATTCTATTCTCCCTCATAGGTTAAGAGTATCTATCCTTGGGAACTTGAAGACGTGTGGACTTCAACTCCCAGAATTCCCCAGCCAGCAAAGCTGGCTGGGGAATTCTGGGTGTTGAAGTCCACACGTCTTCAAGTTCCAAGGTTGGACACCACTGGTGTAAAGTTCCTTCCTTGAGCAGGGGGGTGGACTAGAAGACCTCCAAGGTCCCTTCCAATCCTGTCATTCTGTTATATCTCGTGCTGCTGCCATGTGATATACCGAGCTGGCCTTCAGGTTCTGAAGCCGGACCTCTGACGAGCTGACCATCCAGCCAGCTCTGACCCTTTCCCCCTCTGCCTTGTAGGTATCGCTGCCATTTGCATCGAGGACAGTGACGGTGGCTCCTGGCTGAAATCCCGCTACAAGTGGTCCCACTGCGTGCCCCCTCAGCTGATGCCCCAGTTCAACGCTCACTGGCTGGATTCCTTCCAAACTTCCCCGCCGAGCCTCCCCAGCCAGGAGCAGCCACAAGGCCACCCGAGCCACGTCTTTTAGCAAGCACACCCGGGGGCTGACAGCAACCCTGCTTAGCCTGGGCCCTCTGTGGCCCCCAGAGTCCCCCCCCTTCCACACACACAGATTCACCCCTCCCCCCAGCAGCTTCTCTGGTCCAAGCTCAACAAATAAACTTCCTACCAAACCGTGGGTATGTTTTTATGAAGGTCTATACAGCTAGTTCTCCATTTATAACCGTTCATTTAGTGACCGGAGCTACGAAAAGGGACTTACGGCCCTTTTTCACATGTACGACCGTCGTAGCCTCCCACGGTCACGTGATCAAAATCCGGACGCCTGGCAACGGACTCATATTTATGATGGGTCACGTGATCCCCTTTCAAGGGACATCTGACCAGCACAGTCAATGGGGGGGGGAGAAAGAAACGCCAGTTTCACTTAACGACCGGGTGACTAACTTATTTAATTATTTGCTTAATTATTGACTTATTTATTTATTATTTACCCTGTAGATTTCTGCCTTAACCCACTGCGGGGATTCACTTAAAAGCTGCGGTGTGCTGGTCAGAGTATAGAGCAGCGGTTCTCAACCTGTGGGTTGGGACCCCATTTGGGGTCGAATGACCATTTCACAGGGGTCACCAAACAATGCAGTCCGCCATTTTTCCCCCCTTTTCCTTAGCTTTGCTACTCCCTTTGGAGTAGCTTTTGAAAGCCAATAGAATAGACTCTCTTGAATAGAGTGTAATTCTATTGGCTTTCAAAAGCCAATAGGAATTGTCCAGGCTGTCTCTGCCCTGCTGAGCCTGCCAAAAGTCCCATTCTACAAACGGTTGCTGCACCAGTTGAGTAGTCCTCGACTTACGACCAGTTGAGTAGTCCTCGACTTACGACCGGTTGGGGGGGTCGCGGCATTAAAAAGGTTGAGAACCACTGGTATATAGCTATCTTAGGAATTAAGGACTGTCCCCTCAAGGTATAGCCTTCTGGGTAATGTAGTTTAAGTTACCTGGTCATTTCTGTGTTCGGACTGGCCCCTGGGAGGGACTTCGGTTTAATTAACCAGATTTCCTGGCTACGTGCCAGCCAGCCAGGTCTTTATGAATTCCAGCCACGAGAACTGTTTGCTTCGTTAGCATGGAAGAAACTATCTTTTTGTACCTGCGTGCTGGGGTACAGATTATGCAAAGGATGTCAGAAGAATCCCTACAGCAACAGTGAGTTAATGTCAAGTTAATGTTTTGAGAACTCCTGACGAATTAAAGTTAATCTGCCTGCATCAAGCCGCCGCCCCCCCCCCCGCTTGATACAGAACCGTAAAAAAAAAAAGAGATAAGTCTTCGTGACCCTTGCAGGAGGCAAGGATTGCTGGCTCAAACGCCGCCTCCGGAGTTTCCTGTACACACGTTCAAGATCGGAGATCGGGTCCTGATCTGGAGTTGGAAAAGAGAGAAATTACAACCAAAGGGATCGCCCTTTGGCAAGCAGGAAATCTTGCGGGTCTCCTCCGCCAGGAAGGAAAGCCCAGATGCGGGGCAAGCCAGGGAAAGAGTGTCTGCGTGTGTGTGTGTGTGTGTGTGTGTGTGTGTGTGTGTGTGTGTGTGTGTGTGTGTGTGTGTGTGTGTGTGTGTGTGTGTGTGTGTGTGTGTGTGTGTTGGGGGGTGGTGTAGAAATCCCGTGCAAGATTCTCTCCTTGCAAAAGAGCGACCGTTTCTGCTTCTCTTGCAAAGACAGGGATTTCTCCCGCGGACGATGCCAGCAATCCGGGAAGGGAAACCCCTTCTGGGAGCATCAGGGATGGGGGAACCCCCTGCCCCCCCCACCTCCTGCCTTCTCCTTTGTTTCTGCAAGGGGGGGGAGGAGGAAGGAGGAGGCGCAGAAGCAGCGGGGCGAGACTGCAGCCCAGCCCAGAGAAGGGGAAGGAAGAGCCGGTTGGAGAATGCCTCTTTCTCCCCCCCCCCACCCACCCCCGGAGGGAGAAGCCCCCCTTGCCTGCCCGCCGTCCCGGCAGCGCCGCCAAAAGCTGCCAGCCCCGCGGCACGCCCGGCCGCGGCGGGTCAAGCGGCAACCCCGGGCAAGGGGGGGGGGCGCGCGCGGCCACCTTCAAGCATGCGCTGCCGCTGCCTCTGCGCGCCCACAGGTGTGAATGGTCCAGGAAGGAAGGAAGGGACAAAGAAGGGAAGGAAGGAAGGGAGAAAAGAGAGGGAGAAAGAAGGAAGGAAGGGACGAGGGAAGGAAGGAAGGAAGAAAAGAGAGGGAGAAAGAAGGGAGGAAGGGAGGGAGGGAGAAAGAAGAAAGGGAGGGAAGGAAGGAAGGGAGAAAAGAAAGGGAGAAAGAAGGAAGGAGGGAAGGAAGGAAGGGACAAAGAGAGGAGGGAGGGAAGGAAGGGAGAAAAGAGAGGGAGAAAGAAGGAAGGGACAGAGGGAGGGAAGGAAGGAACAACGAAGGAAGGGAAGGAAGGAAGGAAGGGAGAAAAGGGAGGAAGAAAGAAGGAAGGAGGGGAGGGAGGGAGGGACAATGGAAAGCAGGAAGAGACAAAGGGAGGGAAGGAAGGAAGGAAGGAAGGAAAAAAGAAAAGAAAAGGGACAGTGGGAGGGAGGGAGGGAGGGAGGGAGGGAAGGAAGGCACCCACCCCAGCCCCACTCCCTCCACCAGAGACCCACGGATTCCCCCCCCTCCCCAGCCATTGACTTCGCTTGTCAAAAAGTTGCAAAAGGGGATCACATGACCCTGGGACACCGAAAGTCCTAAGTATGAATCAGTTGCCAAGCATCCGAATGTAAGTCACGTGACCCTGGGGATGCTGCAACAGTCATAAGTGTGAAAAATGGTCACAAGACACTTTTTTCAGTGCCGCTGTAACTTTGAACAGCCACTAAGCGAATTGTTGTAAGTCGAGGACTACCTGTACTTTATCTTTTTTTTCCCTCTTCTTTTTATTAGTCAAGTTTTTGACACCTTGCTGGGCGACTGGTGGTCCTCGGATGTTGTCTTATCCTACAGTGGGTGAAAAGGTTGAAAAGCCTTGAATCTAATGGAACTACCTGCCTCCAGAAGCGGTAAATGCTCCAACACTGGAGGTTTTTAAGAAGAGACTGGACAGCCATTTGTCTGAATGGTGTAGGGTTTCCTGCCTGAGCAGGGGGTTGGACTAGATGACCTCCAAGGTCCCTTCCATCTGTTATTCTGTTATTCTTTCCTTCCTTCTTTCCTTCCTTCCTCCCTCCCTCCCTTCTCCAACACTGGAAGTTTTTAAGAAGAGACTGGACAGCCATTTGTCTGAGCAGGGGGTTGGACTAGATGACCTCCAAGGTCCCTTCCAACTTCATTATATTATTATTACTTAAGGGAATCCTCTGATTCTTCTCTAGTCATGGCAGAGAGTCCCAATGCGCCAGAAGGGCTGGTCCCTGCAACTAACCTCGGCTTGTGTGCAGAAAATCTAAAAACAGCAGAAACATCTCCGAAACCTTATGACTTGAGGCATCAAAGAAAGCCCACCGAAGCCAAGCGGTCAAGCCTGCTGGAGAACTGGGGGAGCCTCTATCAGCGCCATAAAAAATCCTGGGAGAAGCTGCAGAAACTCTGCAACGAGTCCAAAGATAAGCTCTCCCCCGAGTGCATCCGTACATTGGAAGGGGATATGGCGGAGCTTCTCCTACAATGGACCATTTATGAACGCCTCCTCGTGGACACCCGGTCGCAGCTGGGAGATTCGACATTCAAAGAAGAAATGCAACGCCTCAAGCGGATCAACAAAGACCGTGAGAAGCTCCTACAAAGCAGTAGAGCGTCTCTCCGAGACGAACGTCAGGCGACGGACACGCCGAGCGACAAGGCCGAATCCGAAGCGACCCGTCGTTCGCATGCGCCATCCCAGCGGTCACATGTGGCTTCGTCTCACACATCTAAGGAAGCCTCGTCCGTTCGTCTTAAGTCACAACCGTCTCAGGCGTGCACCAGTACGTCACAGCAACCTTCTGTCTCAGGTACCTCCCGTTCTTCTAAAGCATAGGTTTGCAACCTGCGGCTCTGGAGCCGCATGCGGCTCTTTGAGCCTTCCCCTGTGGCTCCCAGCTTCCTCTGCCTTTGCAGAAAGAGACAGAGACAGAAAGAGGCAATTGCGCTTCCCTGCTTCTCTCTCTCTCTCTCTCTCTGTGTGTGTGTGTGTGTAAAAGAGAGTGCACTCACAGCGTTCTCCGAGAAGCTGAAAGGCTTACTGGGCGGAGCTCCTCCCTTTGCTGCGTCTCTGCAGGAAGCAGGAAGCAGGAAGGGCAGGAGAGAGCTAGCTAGCCCAGCTAGGCTGACTCAGGAATTCTGGGAGTTGAAGTCCATGAGTCATAAAAGAGACAAGGTTGCCTACCCCTGAGCTTGTTGGACAACAGCTTGAAGCTTGCCAGGTGAGCAGCAGATAGGAGGGGGGGGAGAAAGAGAGAGAGAGAAAGAGAGAGGGGGGGAGGGGAGAGAGAGGGGGGGGAGAGAGAGAAAGAAAGAGAGTGGGGGAAGAGGAGTGGCAGACCAAGGGCAGATAGAGAGGGAGAGAGACAGAGAGAGAGAGACCCTTTTGACATCTAAAATGAAGATAACACTGCATATATCCTTTTTTTACCTGTGTGTGTATGCAATTTTATTTTCTTAAAGCATTCTCTTGGTGATCATTGTTTTAATAGTATGGATATTCCCAAGACTCATATTTTTACTTTTATTTTTAATGTGTGTGTGTGTGTGTGTGTGTACACACACACACACACACACACACACACACCCCTATAATAAAGGTAAAAAAGGATATATGCAGTGTTATCTTCATTTTAGATATCAAAAGGGTTTTGCGGCTCCCGGTGTTTTGTTTTTGGTGGGAAAGGGGTCCAAGTGGCTCTTTGAGTGTTTTGGGTTGCCTACCCCTGTTCTAAAGCGTCTTCTCGTCGTAGCCATTCGTCCCGAGTCTCCAGGGCAGAGAGCCTGGCCGCTCAAGCGTCACAAGCACAAGTTGAAGCAGTGGCGGCCGCAGCATCTTTATGTGTGGCGAAGGAAGAACTACTGCGAAAGGAAGAAATGGCTAAAAAAAGGGCAGAAGTGGCCATAACTCAGGCCAGGGCTGAGTTTCTACAACGCAAAGCGGAGGCAACAGAAATAGTAGCAAGGGCTGCAGTTTTACAAGTGAAGGCCGAAGGCGCTGCCTT